AATAGATAGATAGACAGCGATAAAGATGGCTCGATAGAAAGAATATAGATAGAGAGATAGATAGATAGACAGATAGATAGATAGGTATACAGGGATATTGTAGCGCTCACATACGTAAACATATAGTTCACATACATATTAGAACATTGCTGCGCCCACATATTATCTATAATCATGTATCACTGCCCTTGTTCACAAAGAGTGCACACCTCAAGTTCGTGAATTTCAAAGTGTACTGAATTCCAAGAGAAGTGTATTCCATCGCATGATTCACCAGCATACTATAACTATATACGCTTCTACAATACTATGGATTTGGCAGTTTTTTAAGGGGCACATCCTTTTCTTAATAAACCAATACAAAAATTTCTTTATTTAACCTACTTGTGCACAAAGCAGTGACTACATTGTTTGAAACACTTTATTTGTCCTGCGTGCAGAGCAATAAGGGAAAAAATCCATTGCTTACAGCAGTAACACCGGCGATCTGTTTTCCTACGCAATGTTGAGACAGTGTGCGCCGACACCTTTCCACCTCAGCTAGCTCTGGCATCCCTGTACATACACCGCCAATCTAAACTTCGCAGCAGCGTGCATCTATTGTACAACTACTAAAGTCAAATAAATACATACGCATAACAATATGAATATGTACATATGTATGATTACGTACGTATATATTTAAATGAAGTGACGCAATCGCTTGTCATCAAATTTGTAAGCACGCGTGTGAAGTGTTTTTTAAATTGTAAAGGTGACTTTCTTTTAAAATATTTTTAAAATACGATTTGCGTTAAACAGCGTATATATCGTTATGGCCCTGTGGTTGACTGTATTTATGGGTGGATGTTCGGAGCTCGTCGGTTCAAAGTTTTCGGACACTTTCATTGCGAGTCTGTTTCATTAGTACCGCCAACTGTCTTATGCTATTACTTATTCCTCTGGATATTGTTGCGGTCAAAGGCAATTCGGGGCAAATGAGTTTTGACCCATATAAACGTTTTTAAGCTTTTTAAAAAACACAAGTCGAAACAATATACATTTATGTTAAACGTTAATTTGTCTCTTTTAAACAAACGGATTGAAGCCACACACTGGACGTTTGGACCGTATTTGTTAAATAGACGCTGCACAGTGCACAGTTTCCTTCCGATGATGCCAGTTGAACACGAAAATGTCGCGAGTTCATCTGGTGCTTTCCAAAACTACCAGAATTAGGATGCTGTTGAAAGTTATAAGACTAGCTCTACTAGAGAAAGAAAAGCTGTACTAAATAGTCCCGTAGTGCCAGATAGGCCTATTTCTTATCCCACTATATACATTCAGCTGCTCATTGTTTTGTGAGGCTCTACTAGCTATAGTGTGTGTTTAAGGAGTTGCTGGTGTGTATTTGGATAATAAATAAGTATTCGTTCGAGTGGTGCATTTATACATATGTCACAAAACCCGCTATGCATTTCACAAAACATTCATTTTCTTCAAAATAAAAAAATTCTGTTTGTATTGATAAACGTCCTTTTGCCTTACATTCCTCACAATGTATATGTTCGATTATTGCTAGGTGCGGAACTGCTTGTATACAGTTGTAGAGATTCTTGATGTCCAATTGCTCACATAGTGCACATACAACTGTGTCGATTGCCGATTATGTTATATAGCTAGGGTCGTGAACTATTCATCCACAGGAAAGAAACTTTCCCCTACAACTATACCCCGTCTGTAAGTATTCATGCAATAACTTCAGAAAGGATCACTTGCGTCTAAAAACTCACAATCTGAGACAAACGTCTGTCCAGTCTCCATCTATCAGGGTCACCCTGTGAATATAGATAATACAAACGGTTGAAGCCCCTTTAGAACAATCTCACATCAGCACACACCATACACTACTCTAGAGAGAGACTCTCTTTATGTCTCCCCCTCTCTACATAGTCTCTTCTCACTCTCTCTCTACTACAGTACTATTTAGTACTTCCTACTCTCTCTCTCTCGCTCTCTCTACTACATAGTAGTAGAGAGTGTGAGAACTGAGAAGTATGTATTATACATAGCAGTAACAAGTCTCGAGAGTAGAGAGTAATAGGAGTCTAGAGAACACTGGGTCAGTGGGTTTCAGAGCTCTGCTGCTGATGATGATTCATCAGAGTGCGAAATGCAAAGTCTCTCCAAATGTACATAAATAGCCTCTACTACTGAGTCTCCAGGGGTCTCAAGGCCCTCCGGCCTCCAGGCTCCAGCAGTCGAGCTGCGAGCACATCAAATTCCGAATTCGTTTTTGATTTTGTGGCTTGTATGGTGATTGGCCAGAGATGGGTATTTCTTGTTGCAAATTGGTTTTTTTTACTCTTTATATATCTTGCGAATCAATGGGTAAGACTCTCTTGGGTTTAGAGTCAGTTTAAGACTTCGGTGGTTTCTACATATCATTCATAAGCCTCATTTTTTCTACTGTAGTCTGAAAAGTACAAGCTGTTTGTTCGTGTTATTGTTAAATATCATCGCGGTATATATAATACACGGCCCTCTGGATTTCTAGGGTCTCGACTTTCGCAGTCTCCGACTCGAGCGTAAACCAAGTTTCTCTCTTTATGTATGCATTTACGACAATCTCAAATAAATTTAGCAGAGACTCCAGAGGGGACAGAGGGAAGTATCAACATGTATTTTGTTCTAAAAAATGGGGTTTTTTGGGTGATATTATTGATTTCTTTTGTAAAAACAAATGTAAAAATTTATTATTTTACATACAAAGTGTTTTTTTAGTTTGTTTTAAAAAAAATACTGTATGCCTATACAAATTGAGTATGTACTGTATAGCACCTAAATATCTAGGTAATTCGGGAATTGACTCGGGTCAAAAACGATTTTTGGACCCTAGTAGAGAAAAATAAAAATAAAAATATTTACCACCACGGATAAACAGGATGGCCGCGAAGAGGCAAAAGGTTAGAATAATTTGGATAGATTGTCTTTTTTGTTCTTGGATGGCTTTGACTTTTGAGTCGTATTTAAATCGTAAAAATTTATTAAATGTCCCGAATGTTTATTATAAAAAAATATACATATAAATATGTACCACAAAAAACGGTATTTTCAAAAACAAAAAAACAAAAACTTATTTGCTTCTTTAATAAATGCAAAACAAGCTCTGTGGTTTCAGTTTTCAGTCCTCCCCTGGGGCCAGCGATTTTGGGTCTTTGGAGTTTGGGACTAGTTCGACTTGAGTAGGGACTATTTAGTAGAGGGACTGAGGTCTGAGGAGTGAGGACTGTGAACTGGGGAGTAGGGAGTGGTCAGTGGGGTCGGGAGAGTGGGGTCTGGATTTACCGGAATCAGTATTACAGACACAGTATACATATCACTGCGGGAATTGGGATTCAGGGAAGTCATATGCTAAGTTCGATGACGCAGTTGTGAGTAATCATTTTGTGGGGAGTAGCTAATGGACTCTATTATTGGCTGTTGCCGAGCTCTGTCTACTTAATCACAGATCACAACAAAATTTGGTTTAAACGTGTTGTAAACTAGTTTGCAAGTCTACTCCACTATACTGGTTAGCGTTGTACTATCAATTGACATATCGGCTTTGTATTTACGACTTAGTTTGAAACAATATATTCAAATATTAACACAGCCCTGTCTCAATGTGTTGTCATAAATAGTTTCAATGTCGAATATTGAAAAAGCGGGAAGTGGAAAACTCGTAGGCTTTTCTGAAGCTCCGAAACTAACCGAGGTCCAATCTACTTCTGTGCACTTCTTCGTCTTCGGGTTTATACACTCTTTTGAGTCTTTTATTGTATACAGTGCAATAGACTATAAATTTTAGACAGTAGTACAAAATTTAATAGTATACAATTATACACTTTTTAGACTACACTTTTCGCAGTATAAAAGAAGTATCTGGGATCATTTCGGCCTCATTACAGGCTACTGCCTTTAAACAACACGTAAAAAATAATCTACAGTACAAACATTTCTCAGGTGCTCTGCGAAGCCGGTCTCAACTCTGTATCGATCTTAATCAGCATGCACTCATTCACCAAGTATGAATATGACCGTGTTTTCCTCCTGCTTTGGGTGGCTATCATCTTGAACTCTATCTCCTCTGATGAACGAGTGGAAACCCTTGTTAGTGCGGACCCTGTGAGATGTCGCGCCGATGTTAGCTGTGTCAGCGTATTGCAACAACCCGGCTTAACATCCACGCAACGGGCTGTTGTTGTGGGAAACGGCAATTAACCCTTGTGGAGCCCTATTGACTGGGGCTCCTGGTTTTCCTGTTAGAAGTATATATATATATGGATATGTATATATGTATATGTATATATGTACATATTGTAATACCACGCACAACATACTACACACAAACATCGCAAACATCATCGGGACGCCGCGACAATTCTATAAGTAGTCCGAAAATGGGACATATGCAGGGCCTGAGGTTTTGATTTGAACCTATGCTTATGCTTCTGCAGAGTGAGCAGCGTTATCACTCGCAGGTTTTTAAATAATAGCTTTTTTTTTATAGCTTTGGGGCTGAGTAAATAAAGGTTCGCATTGTAAACTTTACATTCCTTCGATTTCGATATATCCGTGACTTTTGATGCATTTTCATTATATTCATTTGCACAGAACGAGATAGGTACAGTATTTTTGGCTTTGTATTATTCACTCACCCTTTGTCAGTCTCTCGACTGATACAAGTAATCCTATACCATTTCCCCTAAACTTGAATTAGTGATCTGGTGGTTTATGATGTCCAGGCAGACACACTACGGCTGTGTTGTCCAATTTGATCAAATACGCACTTACAAGGTATTTTTTTTTGATAAATTCACAATAAACATTGCCAAACTGAATTTTCATGTCCTACAAAATCATGTGAACGATTGTAAAGTCTGCTATTCGAATTGGTGTATGTTTAGGTAAACATATACAGATGCAAAGCGAAATATAGAAGATAATAGGCATTTAAAGTGCTAATAACATCCGCAGGACGATGAATGTCTGGGAATTCTCTCCATCGTTCCGGGTTAAGATCGATACTCCAACAGAAAAGCTATCCTAATCTGAAGAATTTGTCGACAGATTGTGCTCAGAAGAAAAATACACATGTAGACAAATCATCGCCTCATCATCGACGAATCAATTCATCTGAGAAAGCAGTCAAAGCAGAATTATTTATCGGAACGTGCTGCATATTTGATACATGTACGAGAGTATTACCGAATATGATTACAGTCCTCTACGGCGGCAATGAGATGGGATGATTGAGGTGGATATGATGCATCGAATAATTTTCTCGTCTGTATACAAACCTGACTTCGCCTGTGTATATCATAGTGAGTCCTACCTAAAAATCAACACACAGATTAAACTTTATGTAATAAATCATGTACTTAACGTGGATACATAACGCAAGGATACATGAAGGCTCTGATTTATTCTTATTACCACTTTAGCATACTGCACGCGTGTGTGTCTTCTGTTTGAACCCATTTTTAGCACATCAAGCCAAGATAAGTTAAAGTTGTGAATTAAAAAGTGATGACAATATATATGTATTGTTTTTTATACTCTTGTGTACATAATCAGCTGGCTGTGACTTTTTATCCTCATTACGTTTTGTGACAGTCCGAACAGACGGTAAAAGTTTATACATTTTGTTTATTGTATAATATCTCTACACGTTTTACGTTAACGCGTACATGGATTTACCATAACGTAATGAGGTTTGCTTTTTTTAACTAAAAATAAATATAATTCTAAAATAATTAGATACCTAGTATAATTGTTTGATTGGAAGACAATAATAAGACTGTGCCTAGTTTTATTTCTTTAGGTTTGGTGCAGCACATAATTGGTAGTGTGGTGATGTTCGCTCTAGTGCACAATATATTATAAGACCAAAATATAGTTGTATTTATGTGGTCAGTGTTCATTCACTATGTGTATATACTAATAGTTGCGATTATTTAATGATACTGAGAGTGTGTATGTGTCAACTATTAGCTGTGATTCATAGAACATATAAGTAGTACACAGCATTGTACGTCGTGATATCCACTACCGCACACATATGTAGAATACATTGTTTGTGGACAAGATGTCGTCAAATAGCCCAACCACAAGACTCGGAACCGAAGGTTCCAAAAACAACCCCCATTTTGGTTCTCGTCTATCACCTAATCCATCACCCGACTTATCACAGCCTAATCGCAGCATGTCACTCACCACAGCCAAGCGCAAGTACACCATTCCATCGCTTGAAGACCATAATATGACAGCCGCGTTGCATGAGATCGACTCACTGTCGTCTTTCGTGCCCGCTGGGAAAAAGCCTGTGCTGGCCAGGGTGGTTTTGACAGGAGGTATGTAAATAGTTATTTTAGTATATATATTCAAAATAGTGTGTATGCGAAATGGAATGATACGTTCGTACGGTGAGTATTTTTTTCAAGGTTTATGCACACACACATGCATATATATGTATATATAGCATATGTATATATATATATATAGCATATTATATATATATATATATATATATATATATATATATATATATATATACATACATACATACATACATACATACATACATACACATACATACATACATACATATATACACACACACACATACATACATACATACGTGCATACATACATACATACATACATACATACATACATACATACA